ATAATACGCGTGCACCTTTTATACAATATTTCACGGCATGGTCTACTTTCAAGACCCCGTTGAAAATATAAGAAATCCATGAGATAAATAATGATTATAAGTAAACCACAGGTCCAAGACGCATGTAGAGGTCCTATTACCTATCCCAAAATTAAAATATTAAGAGCGCCAACTTATTCATCTTCATCAAATATTTAGGCATTCAAGATGTTATCACTGACACCCTATTAGTCAGCCACTACGGCGAAGATTTCAGTGATTGTGGTAACTGGACTATGCCATGTCGTACTGTGGGACATGCAGTAAAGATATCCAATAATGGATACCAAATTGATATTGATCATGCACAAGGAAGACTTTATACGGAGTGCGAGAATATGACACAATCAACGTGCTCTATCGAGTTGACAAAATCTGTTTCATTTCATGGTATCAATGGACGAGCGGAACTTCGATGTAAAAAAAGTTGTAAGTTTTTTTATCATAAAGAGCCCAAATTCTAATGCAACGCGTATCAAAGTCGTTAACTTGGTTATATCAAATTCAGACACTGTAACTGAGCTTCACGAAGGAACCAGGTCGGAATTAGTATTTCAAAACATGTTGGTCATAGATAACCTTTACGCTATATACAGCAAATATTCGATTGCATGACTGTTCCATTATGATAACCAACTCGAGTTTCGAGCATAATTTTCACTGGGGAATTCAACTGCGATGTGCCAATCTCACCTTTTTTACAAACTCCAGTACCTTCAAATTAACTCCTGTACAGTCCTTGACAAATATTGCTGAAAAGCCAAGACGCTGGAAAAAAACAGAGATTTTGGTCCGAAATACGATCTTTGACGGTAGAAATGTTCAAAAATGCGTCTCAATGCTCACGATAAAGCCATTTGCAGCCATATTCAATGTTACAATAACTGACTCAGAGTTCAAAAATCATGTTGCCATTTGTAGGTCCAAATACACAAATCAGTTTTCTATATTACGACCATCAGTCAACACCTTGTGGTCTAACTCAAACTGTATCCGAAGCGACAAGAACAGTAAATACTGCTTGTTCTACAACAACAACATGCCTTGATCTTATATTCACCAATAATCCTGAACAAAATATGTCTAATTGTAAAGTTATTTCTTTAGGTTTTACCGATCACGATCTTACGGTACTGTCGATAAAGTCTAAAATTCCCAAAGGACCTTCGAAAGTGGTTTACAAACGCAGTTATAAGCATTTTTCTGCAGAGAAATTTATTAATGACTTGAAACTTATTCCGTTCTGGTTGGTTGAATCGTCGGATGACCCTAATGAGGCACTTGATACATTTCTTAATCTGTTCAGAGATATTGCGGACATTCATGCCCCTATTAGGTAATATACAGTTAAATCAAAACCCGCTCCTTGGATAACTCAAAATATTCGCGACTTAATGTTGATGAGAGATGCAGCAAAACGTGAGGCGAAGGTCTCTGGTTTTCCTTCTGACTGGGCGGTTTATAGGAAGTTGAGAAACCATGTCGTTAAGGTTAACTGAGAAAGCAAAAGAGCATATTTTCTTGAAGCTATTAATAATAGCAAAAAAGATCCAAAGTCAATGTGGAAGACAATAAACAATTTGTTAGGACGCTCAAATTGTCCAATACCAACTTATGCAGAGAGTAATGGTGAAATTTACACAAAACCTAAAGATATTGCCAATCATTTCGCAAAGTTCTTTAATGAAAAAATAAAGAAAAATAGATTTGAGATGTCCAACCCGATAGATACGGAGTATGTAACTAAATCAATTACCGAAATAATGACTGGAAAAAACTGTCGGTTTGAGTTCTCATCTTTAAGTCTTTTAGAAGTTCACAGCTGCCTTGCTAAGCTTCCAGATACTAAAGTGACAGGCGTAGACGGCATTGATAATTTTTTTACTTAGAATTGCGTCGAATATCATAGCGAAACCTATTAGATACATTTTTAACTGTTCATATGCGAAGTCAATATTTCCTGATCAATGGAAAGTAGCTAAACTACACCCGATTCCCAAAGATAAGAAACAGCCTTTTGAAGATATAAATAGTCGACCCATCAGTCTTCTAAATGTATTAAGTAAACTGCACGAAAAATTTGCGCATAAAGAAATCTGTCACTATGTCTCCGAACATAACTTAATGCTCAAGAATCAACATGCATATAGAATCAATCATAGCACTGAATCAGCACTTTTACATCTGACTGACAGTTGCCTTGACAACATGGAGAATGGTATGCTTACTGGTGCTGCTTTGTTGGACTTTTCAGCTGCTTTCGACCTGATTGATCATAATTTGCTGCTTCTGAAATTGAAATGTTATAACTTTTCAGATAATGCGATTAACTGGATCCAGTCGTATTTAAGTGGGAGAACCTCAACCGTATATATCAATGGTGCTTTTTCTAATCCGATCGAGATGACTTGTGGGGTGCCACAGGGTAGTTGTCTTGGCCCACTGCTCTTCAGTTTGTTTGTTAGTGATTTACCAACAGTCCTAACTACAGCTGATATCACCTTGTACGCCGATGATAGCACTCCGTTCCAATCTGGACATAACGCCAGACTCATATTAGATAAACTTCAACTTGACTTATCTAAAGTTGAATTATGGGTCTCGAAGAATCGTCTTGTTCTTAATGCTGATAAAACAAATAGTATCCTTATTGGAAGTCGGCAGAAGATTAAATCAGCTCCATCGCTTAACTTATCCATTAAAGATAAAATCATTGAACAACTTCCATGTGTAAAACTCCTTGGCGTCCAGGTTGACGAGAACTTAAGTTGGAAGCAGCATTGTGAAGATATACTTAAAGATTGTTCCAAAGCTCTTGGCTTACTGTTCAAGTTCAGCAGATATATTCCATCTTTTAAAGATTATCGCTGAGGTACTCATACTGTCAAAATTGAACTATTGTTGTACGGTTTGGGGATCTGCGCAAAATCAAGAGTCTAGTCGATTAATAATTTACAAAAACTTCAGAACAAGGCCGCCAGATTGATCCTAGGATATAAGGTTGATGAAATATCTAGGGAAAATCTCCATGATGAAATAGGTTGGTTAACAGTGAGACAAAGGATTCATGTCAGAACCTTAATGGCATTGCATAATGTATTTTATTCTGGTAAACCAAATGCAATTTACGTGAATTTTAAACCATTTGAAATTACTCATGAACACAATACTAGATTTTCGTCGAGGTGTCGAAGTGATAATATGTTGTTAGAGAAACCTATGTTAAAGAAGAAAACCCCTTTTTAGTTCGGGCTTTTAGGACTAGAGCTATCCGTCTATGGAACAATTTAGACTATACTATAAAAATCATATCTTCCAAATCCATGTTTAAGTCTGCTGTTCTTAAACAGCTAGACAGGATCATATAATTATTATTAACTATTTGAACTTTTAACGTATTTTAGTAATTTTTACGAATACCTAGATTTATAGACTTTTTATCTTGCAGGGTAATCCTATTTTTAAGACCTCGTGTAAACTAGCGTTAGCTAACAGAGGTTCTTTTTTAAATACAAATACAAATAAAATACCACGTGATATAACATTTATATTTTTCAGCAATCTATTAATTGAAAATAACCACAATAACTGGGCAGCACTTTCAATGACTGTCGGCTATCTGGGTTACACTGAAGTAGAAGTTATGATGCGAGGCAGTATTCTTAGGAATAACTCGATAGCACTTCGGGTTTCTATTAGGTATTTTGGGAAGAATTCTACAACCAAGTTTCCAACAATAATTCATGAGAATAATGCGTTTGTTGATAATATTAATGAAGTGCTAAAACCAGATGGCGCAGCCGCGATTTACTTTGGAAATGGTAAAAGCCGAGTATCATCATGTCCTTTCCTTGACAACAAGGCTGGAGAAAATCCGTACACGGGTGTAGTAGCAATTTCTGCAGCGGCGAGAGTTACGTTCTTCAATTCTCATTTTGAAAATCAGCAAACAGAAGTCTGTCTAATCAGCTTTTTGCAGCAGGAAATAGACCAGTTAATTTTGTTGGCGAAAATACGTTTAATTTAGTCGCACTGAAAGACAGACAGACCGTATTTATTCGCACACCAACTGTTTTTAATACTGGAGCTGTGATTAGGAAGAATTTTAAGATATTTTGTCCACAAGGTTACAAATGAAACCAGCAGCGACAATGTGATGTTATCAGGAAGGGAATCAAGTGTTACTATATTAATGTCCAATGTGAACAGTGTCCAAAAGAAACGTACACACTCGAAAGACGCGAGCTAATTTTCAATAAAAGCAATGATATCCAATGCCAGCAATGTCCTCGAGGAGGAAACTGTAACAACAGACTTCTCAGAGCACAGTTTATAGACTGTGATCAGAGCCAAACAGAACTTTTGGGGTTACAAAACAAAAATGAAACTATACTTTATTCAATGTCCACCAGGATATTGTTGCCACACTAAGAATTGCGTCACCTATGATAGTTGCTTTGGACTCAGATCTGGTACACTTTGTGGTCAATGTTCAGTAGGAATGTCGGAGAGTTTGTTTTCCACAGTAGTCTAGGACCTGTATATGAGTTTGTATGCATTTCATTTAGGACAGATAATCTCAACTGTTTTAGGGTAAGTTGACCATGACGGTCAACATGGTAACGCTGCCCGAACCCCAATCCGGGGCGAAACGTCCGAAACTGACCACACCCAAAAACGACGCTTTCGCCATACTGCTATCTACCAAACCATAAAAGCTTTGGCTATTCTGAGGTGCTTATATGGTTCAGAGATGGTACTTTTGGGGATGGTCATTGGTAAGTGTGAAATGCCTAGCACTAATATTTCACAAGAAAATGACCATGCAATAATCATAGTTAAACGTCAATTTGTGGCTTGCAACTCAGATAAACAGCAGTGAACTTACATTACCTTTTTCCCTAAATGATAGAAACATGATTGGTACTTATTTAAATATATGGTTTGGTGTAAAATAGTTAATATTTTCTGACCGAAATAATAATTTGAAATGTGCCTACCTCCTGCAAATAGACGTATTTGGCCAAGTTCTCCACTTTACTCCGTTGTTTATCGGCGATCTCGTCGACATCCTACAAAAAATGTAAATCATCTCAGACATAATGGTATAAAGAACATTTTAAACAAGTTTCAACTTGGTTTCAAGTAGATCATACCTGTTTAACCATCGACAAGGTAAATCCACAACTTTGTCCAAATTCGGCGCCATTTTCTCATCCCATGTCGCTTGTTAACAATTCAGTCTTGTTACTCTTCCATCCAAGCCATTTCCATTCCACTAATAATAAATTTAACCCTTTATAACAGGAGGAAACTAAAAAATCTAAACAAAATATAAGAAATACGCCATTTTATCACCATGTAAAATTTTGCTTACGAGTCTTTCAAAACATTCCGTACAAATATCGCGTGACAAAGTAACAGGGACGTGACAGGAGGGGGTGAATTATTTCACGAAGATAGAAGAAGGCTGCGTGAAATAGACTAAAAGCTAAATACAATCATACAAATGTTTGTTTTATTTCTTGTAGCGACAAATATATACATATTTTTATTTATTAACATGAAAAAGTCATACAAATTAAATGTTGATTGTTGGTCTTACCATACTGTGTGGGCTTTCCTTTCAATTTTCAAGTCTCTACCCCCCTGTCGCGTCCCTGTTGCTAAACTACGCGAGATTTGTACGAAATGTTTTGAAGGACTCGTAAACCACATTTTACAGGGTGATAAAATGGCGTATTTCTTGTATTTTGTTTAGATTTTTTAGTTTCCTCCTGTTATAAAGGGTTACATTTATTATTAGTGGAATGGAAATGGCTTGGATGGAAGAGTAACAAGGCTGAATTGTTAACAAGCGATATGGGATGACAAAATGGCGCCGAATTTGGACAAAGTTGTGAATTTACCTTGTCGATGGTTAAACAGGTATGATCTACTTGAAACCAAGTTGAAACTTGTTTAAAATGTTCTTGATACCATTATATCTGAGATGATTTACATTTTTTGTAGGATGTCGACGAGATCGCCGATAAACAGCGGAGTAAAGTGGAGAACTTGGCCAAATACGTCCATTTGCAGGAGGTAGGCACATTTCGAATTATTATTTCGGTCAGAAAATATTAACTATTTTACTCCAAACCAGTGATAATATATTTAAATAAGTACCATTTATATTTCTATCAAAACGATTTAGGGGAAAAGGTAATGTAAGTCCACTGCTGTTTATCTGAATTTGCAAGCCACAAATTGACGTTTAACTATGATCGATTATTGCATGGCCATTTTCTTGTGAAATATTAGTGCTAGGCATTTCACACTTACCAATGACCACCCCCAAAGGTACCATCTCTGAACCATATAAGCACCTCAGAATAGCCAAAGCTTTTATGGTTTGGTAGATAGCAGTATGGCGAAAGCGTCGTTTTTGGGTGTGGTCAGTTTCGGACGTTTCGCCCCGGATTGGGGTTCGGGCAGCGTTATCATGTTGATCGTCATGGTCAACTTACCCTAAAACAGTTGAGATTATCTGTCCTAAATGAAATGAATACAAAGTCATATACAGGTTCTAGACTAACAAAGAATGCTCCTTAAATTATATTTTTTGTCTTGGTGCAATTGCGATGCTAGTTCTATACCTTGTATTCTTACTTTACCATTCGGAGATTTTGAACTTTCTTCTAACGAATTTATTTAGTAAGGCTTTCTCGTTCTCACTAAATGGCAGAAATGACCAAAGAGACAATACTAGTACTGATGGTAATACTTCTTCATTCAGTGGGATGATTAAAATACTCTTTTATTACTACCAAGTTTGAAATTTGTTAAGGAGCTCTGTGGGTTCTTCTAACAAGGAGCAATTCATATATAATTTTGATAATGTTATCTCAAAAGTAAAGAATATCATTCTAGTGAATCTTTCGTCATTTAATTGTCTTTTCAAAGGCCTTCGTGCTGTTCCTAAGGCAGTCATATTACATTCTGTAGGATATTTTCTTCTCGCTCTTCTTTGTCTTCTTTATTTGATAAGCGAGTTATCTCTGATCGTAAGAAGACGAAAAAATGATGGTGAAAGAGGAACAACGTTGCAATATATTGCAACAATTAGCTCCGTTCACAGAGATAGTGCTACAAGATTCTCATTGTCCGAACGATATGTTTCTGCCTTCACATATATTTCTTTGTTAATGTACGCCTCTTCACCGGAACTCTGCCTCTCACTTCTTCACTGTGTACCAGTTGGTGACAGCAATGTCTTATTTCTTGATGGTAATATTAAATGTTATCAAACATTTCAATATTTCCTTCTTGCTTACATGATTTCTTCCGTAGTTCCATTTTGTCTGGTTCCTATCCTCGGTACCTGTCTTTTAAATATTCATGGAATTGGTGTTAAACCATTTTGCGCAGCTTCTATCTTCCTTCTGCCGTTTTTTTGTTGTTGGTTATATTTGTTGCTTAAGGATTTCGGTTGTAGAAATTCGGGAACGTCTAACACAATAGAACAAACTTATAATATAATGCGGTAAGACGTGAACAAGATAATGACGTTACCTTTGACTGCAATGAGAGCAACGAAACCACTTTTCCGAAAATGAATCTGCCATTCTGAGTGTGTTGTTGGGTTCTTTTAGACCTCATCAAGCTTTTATGTGTTTTCCTTCGTCACATATTCCTTGGGAGGGTTTTCTTATATTTCGAAGACTGGTTATGATTATTGTGTTAACTTTCGTCTACGAGATACAGCTCAGACTGTTTCTAGCTCTAAGAGTGTGTGTGGCTATTTTAATCGTTCATATGTTTGTGAATCCTTTCCAAAGAAAACGCGACAATGTACTGGAATCGTTCTCCCTCGGTATACACGTCGTTTTGTGTGCTTTGACTTTAATAAAAGCTCTTTATTACGGTGAAGAATATTCGTCTTTCTCGAACAGTTTGCCTTTGTTGAGTGTGATTGGAAATATTCTTATACTTGCTCCACTGTCAATCATTATGATTGTTGTTATTCTTTCTATCGCTATAAAGTTGGCATTCGGTTTAAAGTTGTGTGTATCAGTTGCAGTTCGAAAAGCAGGACGGCTTATAAGATGGTTTGCTGTGGAGTAGAAGTTTAGATATTTCATGCTTTTTCTAAGTATTGGTTGTTATAGGCCGTTTGCCGTGACCTGAAAATATGCCTAGAAAACGATTTTCATTAAGCATGTCGTGGAACTGAAATATTTTCACGGTAACTAACATTTTAGAACACGCTGAATTCAAATCCGAAAAGTTGCCGCTCCGTAGACCCGCAGTTTTTTCACAAATTGCATTTGTATTTTCAGTTCTTCGACGAACAAAAATAAGCACGCGCCATTTTGAAATTAAATAACATCACTCAGAGTATGCCGTTTAACCTGTTTTTGCTCCCCAGTCTCCGATGCTCATGACCGAGTTAAGATTTAGAGCAATGTTATTAAATTTGCTGCAAAACAAACACAGTCACGTGGTTTTAAAAATGGCTAGTCAGAGTGATTTTCAGTTTATTTGCCAGTAAAATCCCTAAAGAATGAGAAATAAAAGTTTAAATTATTTATTTGGCAGAGAAAAGCAACAAGGTAGGTGTTCTCTGTGTATATTTTTTGAGTTTGTTTAAGGCTAATGGCCTATAGTATAGAAGAACAAGCAAGTGATTATTGTGAACAACCATCACGATTTATTCAGGTTTAATAGCTCTCAGACACATATAAGGCTAGTCTGCTTGAAAACTCACAGTAAAATTGTTCCATATCAAGTCTGCTGTTTATGGGAATTATTGTTGGTCATAAGGTGTAAAGTAATTTATAGAAACTGTTATTCAAATATTGATTTATCACCCCATGAAATGTCAAGAAGGCCAACAAAACCATGAACATTCGCATAGTATAAATGATTATTATATCTGCATAACCTGCTGCTATTTATTCCATGCTTTATTGCATCTTCAAGATTTAGACTGCTAGAATATATACACACAAGAATATGTAATAGGATATACAAATAAGATTCTGCATGAATAGATTGGGTCTAAACTTGTATTAATTCCGTCAATTACAAGGAAAGATGTTTGGCTGACAGAGATCAGCCTGGTTTTGAGATCTACAGTAGCCGCTCATATAAGCAGCCCTAAATTAGAATATCTACAATCCTGGAAAAATTATTGTGGTCAGTGTGCGCAAAAATACAAATACCTGCCTTGCCCAAACATACGTGCAAAAACAGCATTTTTTAACTGTTGAAAAGCTTCTAGATCGGTTAGGCGAAAGCTCTGTGACTGATAGGGGAGATGAAGATGCCAATATGTGTATGTGAACAGTAATACTTTAATCGTTCACACCTATAAGTTTCCACAGAATTTTTGCCATGATTGTAGCTATGGGTGGAAGCAAAACTGTGAGTTCAAAATATATTCAACAGCATAAATGTTTTGTACGCGTACGTTGCCCAATTTGGCAAAGTAATACTTTATATGTTGTTATGCTGGGTTTTTTCCAGCTTGACAGTAAACAAGTTGTTTGTTTTGTTTTATAACCTGTTAGAAATAAGGAAAAATACATGAGTCCCAGGCAGCTGTGCTTGGATCTTAACCCTTTAAAGTAGTTGCATTGCTCCCCAATGCACCCTACTTTATTAGTCTACTCTGTTTAATGCCAGACAATTTTACTCGTCAAGTGGAAAAGTGCTGGCGCTCATGCAATAGGTTAAACACCCAGGTCACTAACCTGGTGCTCTACTATGCAGTTGAGCTAAATGTGATCAATGACAGGCCACGCTCAGATTTGTGTACTCTGCCCTGCATGGGGAAAGCCACATACAAATAAAAAAAATTTAATACAAGTTTAGACCCAATCTATTCATGCAGAATCTTATTTGTATATCCTAGCTATTACGTATTCTTGTGTGTATACTGTATATTCTAGCACAGTCTAAATCTTGAAGATGCAATAAAACATGGAATAAATAAGTCAGCAGCAGGTTATGCAGATATAAATAATCATGTATACCATGCAAATGTTCATGGTTTTGTTGGCCTTCAACATTTCTGACATTTCATGGGGTGGTAAATCAATATTTGAATAACAGTTTCTATAAATTACTTTACACGTTATGACCAACAATAACTCCCATAAACACAGGGCCGTAGCTAAGCATGCATAGTTGGGGGGGATGTGGGGTGTAGGCCAAAATTTCGAATGACGAAAAATTTCGAATATTTCATGGCATACGAAGCCACGAAGGTGTTTTCTATCCGGAAAATGAAAACGCAACTTACAAACAAAAATACTCGTATTTTACGCACAGGCATATTACAGAAGCGTGCAGTTCGGTAGGCCGGTTATATTTTTATTAAGGTGCGAGGGCCGAAGGCCCGAGGAAATTTTTAAATTTAGAGTCTCTGAAATGCCATTTCGTGGACTTTGGGGAAGTTTTGACAGAAATCTGACGGTCAGAAAACAGAGTTTTAGCACGTCGAAATTTACAATTAATTTGCTTACAATTAAGAAGAACTAAATGGGCGAAGGCGTATGGTAATATGATTCTTTTGCGGTTTGTCATGGCTATAATGTAGCCGCTTAAAATTAATCAATTGTCAGTATTTTAAAGATATATTGTGGGCTGCCCCCCGTTGCTACGGTCTTGCAATTGGGAAGTAATAAACCGAAAAACATTTACCGAGTCTACGATTTGTTAAATGTTATCCATGTAAATGCCGTGATTTTGTAGATCAGTTTATGATACTGACAATACAATATATTTTATAATATTTTTTCTGTTTAAACAACCAACATTTTGTTATACTATTACTGCCGTAATTTTCGGAATGACCAACTCGATTTTCCGATTATGTTAATTCTAAAAAAGTTGGGGGGGGGGTTAACCACCCCAATACCCCCCTTCGCTACGGCCCTGCATAAACAGCAGACTTGATATGGAACAATTTTACTGTGAGTTTTCAAGCAGACTAACCTTATATGTGTCTGAGAGCTATTAAACCTGAATAAATCGTGATGGTTGTTCACAATAATCACTTGTTTGTTCTTCTATACTATAGGCCATTAGCCTTAAACCTACCTTATTGCTTTTCTCTGCCAAATAAATAATTTAAACTTTTATTTCTCATTCTTTAGGGATTTTACTGGCAAATAAACTGAAAATCACTCTGACTAGCCATTTTTAAAACCACGTGACGTGTTTGTTTTGCAGCAAATTTAATAACATTGCTCTAAATCTTAACTCGGTCATGAGCATCGGCGACTGTGAAGCAAAAACGGGTTAAACGGCATACTCTGAGTGATGTTATTTAATTTCAAAATGGCGCGTGTTTATTTTTGTTCGTCGAAGAACTGAAAATACAAATGCAATTTGTGAAAAAACTGCGGGTCTACGGAGCGGCAACTTTTCGGATTTGAATTCAGCGTGTTCTAAAATGTTAGTTACCGTGAAAATATTTCAGTTCCACGACATGCTTAATGAAAGTGAACGATATCGGGTCACGGCAAACGGCCTATTAGTATTTTTGCACAAGTGAACATAACAAATCCCACACGTTCATTGGTCAAATTTGACGTAATAAGCTGTTATGTTCATCTACAGGTGAATATAAACAAAACAGAAGTTTTCAAAATGGCGCCTACCCGTTTTGTGGAAGTTTACTGACAAAGAAATTAGTGAAATTAAAATAAATTCAGTCTCAAAAAACACAAAAGCTTGTGTAAAAATACTAAAACAATTATTCGCCTCAGGCTCGGTGATTTTCGGGGAATATTCACCTCGACTTCGTCTCGGCGAATATTCCCCGATAATCACCTCGCGAATAATAGAGTTGATTAAGCGAATAATCCCCGAGCCGACGGCGCGAAGCGCCGTGCGAGGGTACTAATTCCCCCCGGCTATTTACACCCGGGGAAACGAAAGCATTAGCGGAGTCTAAAGTTCATCAAGTATCGCGGGCGTGGGTGACCAACGGTGTTGAGTGGGTGTTCATCCTCACTGATCTCAAAAATATGGCGGACTGTCATGAATAGCGGACACTGATTGGTCCAATTTAAAGTTTGCATCATAACGACTGTATGACGACAGCGAAATAGCAAACATTTCTTGATTTGATCACAGATTTGATGATTGATAAATTTCTTGCAAATATACTTCAATTTTACTCGCATTTTTGCAAGATTTTGTAAATTTCAAGATAGAAACGGCGAAAGAATCGGCTAAAAGAAGGGAACCGACGTTAACGAAGGTAAGTTTGTGTTAAATATTGATTTTACAATTGCTTTAAAACCCGACGACCTTTGGCCCTTTGCGTATATGAAATAACTAAACAAGACAGCATATAATTTCAGTCAATTCAGTGTATTATTAATATTGATTCCTTTTTTATTATATTGAATTTTTTTACTAAAAAGAAAGCAAAGTTATTTGCATGCGAGAATTTGAAATCATTTTGTTGCAAACTCAAAGTTTATCGATAAAGCCATTTAATTAAAGCCAGGCAATTTAGTTTTATAAAGAACGTTTTAAAACGTTTTGCGAAGCTTTTGTGGTTGAATTTTACCTTAAATTGAAGCTTATATTACGCATAATAACATACCTAACAAATATATGTTGGGAAATTGATAATTTTGTAATTAAAATTGATATTTTTAGGCAATTTTTCATGTGTAAGAATATTCTTAAAAAATTATCGTGTTATTACCATGACAACAACTTTGGATACTTCATGTTTGGAAAATACAATGGTTTGTCAGCAAGGCGAGGGTTTCTGCATGCATGTATTTTCTAGTAGTGTTAATTAACAATAAAACATGATTGTAATAATTACAGTAATATGGCTTGCTATTTTTACAGCAAGTATAATTAATTTTAACCAATTTGTGGCCATAGAGATCTGCTATATTAGTTTATTGTGTATAAGGTCGAACGATTGTAACATCAATATAGGGGACGCTTGCAGATGGGAAGATGCTGGTATAAACAGGTTTATTTGGCGTTACAATAAGGATAATAGATGGGAGAATATGACCATATAGGTATAAATGACATTTAGTATTTAGTGTCATACTTAATTTGTTAAATGAAACGTCAAATAAAATTTGGACAGAGTGCCGTGTTTTCCTTATGAATCACATGTGTCATATTGAATATCAACCTAGCCTCGCGGGTCGAGGGAAAGGGCGAAACGTAGGTCTGATGCCAAAATGTTGTCAAAAGCCCCTTCCGCACATTTTACATTTTGCAATATTTAACGATGGTGATTGACATATTACATGTAACACCTAAAAATACAGTGAAAGTTGCCGATTTCACTAACACACAGGGGTTTTTTTCGAATTCAGTATACTTTATTATTATTATTATTATTATTATTTTATTATTAAAACTTTATTTACACACGGTATTCTCATCAGGATTTAACATGCAACAAACTAAATTAGATAAATTACAAAAGTAGAACCACGCTAAAGTAAATAGAAAATATAATACCTGCTTTTCATGAGGGCCGTGTACTAAGCTAATATAACAATATATACAAGGAAAGTTAAAATAATTTGGCACAGCCCGATCGGAAATTTATCAAGTTATTTGCTTGCCGTAGCCCAATCGGAAGACTGTTCCACAGCACTGCACCACTATAGCTAAAGCTATTCTTGAGATAGTTTGTGCGGGGCTTGGGAACAGCTAGTTTGTTCTCAGTGTTTCTCAGCGAATAAGGATTAACACTGTCACGGTTTACAAACATGGAATGCATGTAATCAGGAGCAAGACCATTTAATGATTTATAGACCATGACAGCTTTTTGAAACTGGCGCTGGGATGCTAATTTTTTCCAGCCAAGTTTCTCAATTAAACCATCAGCATTAGTGTCATAACTGGAGAATGTTAGTACTCTCGCTGCAAGATTTTGTAGTTTTTGAAGTTTTTCAGCTAGGGTTTTGTTGCAATTGTCCCAAACTGTGCAACAGTAATTGAAATATGGCTGAACCAAGGAATTAAAAATTAATTGCAATGTTGCGACTGGGACAAATGATCGAACACGTTTTAAAGCGCCAATACCAGAAGCAATCTTTTTTGTTAATTCATTAATTTGTATATTCCAATATAGATTCTCATCAAGGTACACTCCCAGAGACTTTGCTTGTAAAACCTTGTCAATAGGAACCCCGTCTATTTCTAAACATGGAACTGATCGAAATGTGGCTATTCTTTGTCGTGAGCCAATTAGCATAAATTCAGTTTTGGATTGATTTAGAGTAAGCTTATTGGCGATAAGCCATTTGTTCACATTTGCAAGGTCATGATTAAGGTGATAATTTATGTCGTCAATATTGTTACT